GTATGTGGCCTTCTCCAGATCCGGAAGACAAGAACCACACCATACCATCCGCAATCTGATGGTATGGTGGAACGTTTCAACAAAACGCTAGCCATAATGCTAAGTGCCTATGTGGATGAAAACCACCGGGACTGGGATGAAAGCATTCCCTATGTGATGATGGCATATAGATCATCTCAGCATGAATCCACGGGCTACAGCCCTAACATGCTCATGCTAGGTAGAGAGGTGACGACACCTCTAGATATTATGTATGAGATGCCTGCATCTTGGAAAGAGGTTCCTAGAAATGAATGGGTATGGATCATGAAAGACCGGATGGAGAGAGCACATACTTTGGTCAGACGTTATGCAGAAGGTGCAATGTTTAGACAGAAACATTACTATGACATGAAAATGTCATATGAAAAGTTCAAAGAAGGGGATTTAGTTTATGTATACTTCCCTCAACGAAAAGCTGGATGCTCGCCAAAACTCACATCTTACTGGCGAGGACCGTTCAAGATATTGGCTAAAATATCAGAAGTTCTGTATAAAGCTGACTGTGGTCGCAACGGAAAAGAGCAAATTGTACATTGTGATCGCCTCAAAGCGTGCAAAACGCAGGTCTTGAGAGGTGAGGACGACGAACGGATTCGTCCTGAGCCTGATACAGAAGTCAGTACAGAACTGCCACCAGATGGTCAGTTTGAGACCGAGATTATCGATGACAGTCAGTCAAAAATAGAGATCACGGATGAGTTGGCTGAAAATATTAAGCCAAAACGAGATAGACGTGCTCCAGCATGGATGAAGGACTATGTCCCAGAATAATTTGCTAAATAAAGCAGTGAAAATAAATCATATGTATATAACTGTTTGATTTACTGATAGGCACCAAACCCAATGCTTTATATAGTAGTTGTTTCTATATAGTAGTAGTTTAATGTTAGAGTCTTATATATTTGTTGGAAAAGCTATACATGTATATACCTTGTTCTAAAATAGAATATTTAATTTTACAGAAGAAAGATGGTAAACACCAAGCTAACACCTAGAAAGGCAAAGGAGATATGCCCAGTATGTTTTTTAGAATTGGACAGTAAAGAAGCTTGGACAGAGCACGTGGTTAGTTGTGCAAGCAGCATGTTAGTATGTAAAGCATGCCAGGTATCCTTTAAGAAAAAGGAGTACTTGCAGAAGCATATGCGGACAAAACATCCCGATGCTCCCTCCCAATCATCAAAGGAAGTAGCAGAAAGCGAGGATAGTGACTGGGATGTGGATCCCGAAGTACAGATTGGGGAGGATAGGATCGAAACCGTAGAGAAGGAAACGGGGGCTGGACCATCTTCTGTCCATAGTGAGGAGTTAATCACAGGTCGCATTGTCCGCAAGAGAACAGCTCCAAGTCCAGTCCAAACTTCCAGAAAAGTTACCCATCAAGAGAAGGAATTGGTACAGAGGAAGTGTGTAGAAGTAGGTGTCCAGACACTTTCTACCATGCCTGACCCAGTAATAAGGCAGATCGAACTTGTAGATCAGAGTACTCAGACAGAGGGATATCATCGACGGGTGAAAGAGGTGACTGTAACTAAGTACAATGAGAACGGACAGAGAATCAAGCGTATTAGAGAAAGTGAAGAACTTTTTGATATGTAAATGGTGAATAGTCATCAGAGAACATTTGTAGACATTCTGTATAATTTCATGTTTGCTAGATAATGATACATAATCACCAGGAAGGTGATAAATACTCATCACTCATCATACATCTCATGTTTGATCATTCATCTGTTATATGAAAAAAAAAAAGAGAGAAAAAAAATGTTTATGTTATTATTTTGTCATGTGGGGACACATGAAACATTGAGGCGTGGGTAATGTGACGATCGGGCTCGGGATTCAATTATAGACGGGCTTTATCATTAGGGGTATGATGGAATCCGAGGTTAGTCCGGGTGTCGCTGGTGTATATATAAGAGCGCATCCGAGGTAGAATTGTCATTCTGTGTTTGGCTGTCGAAGGAGAAGGTTGTTTACAGGTACGGTGGTTAGAGTTAATAAAAAGAATTATAGTGTTAAATACAACTGCCCAGTGTTGTATTGTGTTTTCTAGCTTGTTACGGAAAATACAGTGGCATTTAACTGTATATACGAGCGGTAGATATATATCTAGTACCTGGCTGCAGCCTGTGTAAGATCAAAAGGACACAGCCGTCTTGGGACACAGCCTACAGGACACATCCCTGAGACACGTCCCACGGACAGATACCCAGGACAGAGCCCTGTCCTTAAGAAATTACCTGTTATTAGTTTTTATATTAAAGGGATAGATAACCCTAGATATATGTATATGTATATATTGACTCGTTCTTATATTAGCTTTTGTACATAATTCTTGTAATTTTGATCATTTTTATACATCCTCCCAGACTGGTCCAAATCATCGGACCCAAAACACGTTACACTTTCATTTTTATGTAGTGAAAAATCAAAAGAAAAATGATTAGTTTTATTCTTCTTCAAGTCCATCCATATCAAAGTTAAATATCTTTAATTCTAAATAATGTAGTGTTCACTAAAATTTACGTTTGTTGTGGTAATTTTACAAGATTGCATGATGTTTATTTCAATGCTATAACAGCTGGTAAGCAGTTTGATTGCTATACCAGCTTCAATCATTCATGATGTCTTTTAAGTGTAATCATGAATTTCAGGAATAGATTACAATGGCAAAAGTATAACATTATGACATTGTTTTCATCATTTCCATTAGTTGTATCAAAAGTTGTATACTGTGTGCTGTAATTATTGAGATCCTATTTTGTATGTTGATTTTATTAATTAAATACATGTAATATATCAGGGTTTTTTTTCCCCAAGTCTTTGTTCATTTAGAAGTAGAATAGCATTACCAGCAACCTCTGTACAGATTGGGCTACTCCTTCTACATGTAGATCACCAAAATAACACAACATCTTATTTTCGCAAGATAGTTAAATGTAAGTGATAAAAAAAAATCACAAGTTTTTGGGTTTTGTTGTTTATTATCTAAATTATACATATATGGACTAGAATGGTTTTTTATGAGCAGATGGTCGTGCCTAATTATAAAGTTCAAAATAATGAAGATAATGTTACAGTGTATGATATGTGTGATTCAAACAATCAACAGAAATACCCTGCTCTCTTAAGGATCCTGGATACTCTGAAATAAGAGAGAACTCTTATTATGGGACAAATGTCTGCTATTTCTATATGTCAAGTTAAAATGTCTTTTTTGTCCAATTTTGCCCTGCAAGCTACTAGTATGCTAAGTTTGTTTTCATTTTACTTGATTAGCACATTTCTTCTAGAAAATCGTAGGCGTAAAAGCAACATTTGATATGAGTGACAAACGCAGATCCAGGATTTTTTTCCAGAAGGGGGAGGGAGGAGGGGGTCCACCCCAGGGAAAAACCTTCCAATACAGAAATTCTTTACAAGCAAAAATAAAATTGAAATTTCTTGACAAGCACGGAACATCCAACCATTCGTGATTGAAAAAACCTTAATGGCTTTCAACCTATTTCTAAACGGGGGGGGGGGGGGGGGGGGGTTCCAAAGTCACTTTTTTAACCCATAGTATAATGATAAAACTATGACCATGGGTAAACAAATATATTACAGAAACAAGTGTCTGTGTCTCCACCCTATCCCCAAGGATTCATAACTTGAATCCAGAGAATACAGAGATGCTTCAATATTAGTGTGACGAAGAAATTGAATGAATTACAATGTATTTTTTTAATCGCAGGCCCGTAGCAGCGGTTTCAGAAAGGAGGGGGGGGGGCAACTTCCCGGAAAAAATCTGACAAGCAAGAAAAAAGAGCTAATTTACTGTCCAAATCTGGAATTTGCAAGTGCTCGACCATACAACATCAAAAGTGTGTCCAAAGTGTGTGTGTGTTTGGGGGGGGGGGGGGAACCAACATCTATAAAGGAAAATTACCATAGCAAATACTACACTCAGAAAAAAGTGGGAAGTGGGGGAGGGGGGCTGCCCCCTCCCCGTTCTACGGGCCTGAAACGACGGTGATCTATTGTTCACAGCCCAGGTTGGATCCACAGTGAGGATTCAGAAGAATACATCAAACATAAAAAGTAGGCCTTTTGCTCTTGTGTATGTATATATATGCTATGCTGCTTTCAGATGTTTCATAGATGCAAATGTCGACAAAGCACTCCGGAGAAAATCTGTTTTCCTGTCAGCAATTCTCTTAAGAAAATCATTAAAAATAGTTTATATACGTTTCAAATGCACTCCCCTTTTCGATTCGAAAGGGAAAATACTATTATCATCAAGGCTTTTATTTTTCTCCAAAATAAAATAATTTATTCGATCATTTCCTTTCACTTCAGCTTTGTATTCCATCTTAGAGAACCCACTTGAAACCCCTCCCCTATACACTCTCACTATTACCATGTTACAAGTCAACACGCCTAGTCTAACATTAAAAAGGACGGACGCATGTTAAATAGAATAAATACTATGAAGTAAGTCATTTTTATATGGTGCATGTACGTGTCTCTTGTGTTAACAGCACCCCCTCCCCCCGATTTGATTCAAACATTTTCTTTATTTAAAGTCAAGAAAGTATATTTATCTCCTGGCATCAAACCAATATGGAAAACAGTAGTAGTATGCAACAATTAAGTGATATATAGCATTCATCTATAAGCTTGTTCTGGTGTTAATGAGAGCAAACCCCTTCCTTCCCCATTTTCGATTTTATATTAAAGTTGAATATATCTTCCGGCATCAAAACCTTTTCATCACTGATTCAGCGGCACAATTGTTGCTTTTTCTTAATTATCGCAAACAGCATTCTTGTTTGATTTTGGAAGACAGGAGACGGTGTACTATGCTTCTTTGAAAACATCATCTTTCAGTGATTCAGCAGATGCTGGATTTCCTACTTTTTTGACTCACCCTGTATAGAATTCCTGATGCTGATTGTGCACGTGCATTAGCTACAGCAGTGCTTTCTTACAGCTGTTGATGTTTTTTGTCGGAAGCTGTATACCAGCTGTCGGATAAAGAAGTCGGACATTTTATTCCCCTGTATCTTAAAGGTATCAATTTATTTAATTTGCTTAAACGTGATGAATTTCTTTCGTTCCAAATTCACTTGAACGTAACTTCAATGTATTCAAGTGAATACTGGAATCCAGGCAAAGTTAGTCATCTTGCCACACCTTCCCACAGAAGTTATTTCCATCAGACCTGTATCAAATCCATGTCTGAGGATCAGCGAACAGTATTGATATCGTAATTCCTTTGTCTAATCAGTCTTGTTTCAGATATTCGAAGATGTCCAGTACCAAGTCAAAAAAGAAGCACCGGGCTCGGACCCAACGGGCCACGTCCAATATTTTTGCTATGTTTAATCAGGCACAGATTCAGGAATTCAAGGTAATAGTTCATGTCTTTGATATCCTCATCCCGCAATCATTAATTAGGCTGTGTTGGATTTTATAGACATACAGGATAATTTGATTTTTTTTTTAACCCCAAGTTTAACTATGATTCGAGATGCCTATTTTCTTCTACATTTGTGTTTAAAAATCAAGCTCTGGAGAAAATCCTGCAATATATCGTGGTGCTCTCCCGTCTCCATCGCACAGCTATTCTAGAAAACCCGCACAGATACTCAAGTGTCTGTAATAAGTTTTTTAACCAATAATATACTGATAACACGTGTTATTACTCCCTTAACAACGGTTTCAAAAGGGGGGACTTCCCAGAAAAATCTGAAAAAAACCTAATTTACTATCCAAATCCCGGCATTTGCCAGTGCTCGACCTTACAACAAAAAAAAAGGGGGGGGGGGGGGCAAACAGCATCTAAAGGAAAATGTACTACAGCAAAATCCTATACTTAGAAAAAAGTGGAGGGGGCAGGCCCCCTGCCCCCCTCCCCTTCCTCCAGCGTTCTACGAGTCTGGTAGGCTAAAAAATTCACAAACAAGTGCCTGTGATAGCCCTCCCTCTCTTTCTCTCACTTTAAATGTGAGTCGGTTCTTTTTCTTTTTTCTGTTTTGGTCTGATGGCCGTGATTGTATTTTTTCTCTGATACCCCCCCCCCCCTTTCCAAGAAAAAGGGTCGCACTTGCGAACTGCGCAAATGATTTACCAAGCTGGTCAGAGATTGTTAAAATTTATGACACGAAATTACTATTATTTTCTGCATTCTGATTAGTTTACTAAATGCATTCAAACGCAGAGAAAACAGTGTTTCTCATCGTTTCCATGAAATGTGAAGATATGATTTGTTTCCATGTCTTTAATCTCGGCTGGATATTTGGACCAAGTCTTCACTGGTGAAGGCGTCAGTCCAGATATCTAGCCGAGCCAAATCTTAGCCTACACTGTAGATTACCAAGTCTTAGGTTTTGATCTGTTAAGGAAGCCTTTAACATGATCGACCAGAACCGTGATGGCTACATCGACAAGGAAGACCTACTGGAAATGATGACGTCACTGGGAAAAGACCCGTCTAACGAGTATCTGGAGAAGATGATCACAGAAGCACCGGGACCAATCAACTTCACCATGTTTCTTACTCTGTTCGGGGAGAAACTCACAGGAACTGACCCAGAGGACGTCATACAGAACGCCTTTGCTTGCTTTGACATCAACGATTCAGGTAACATTCAATCTTATTAAAATATCAGATGTTTGATTTGCCCACGTATCTTTCTACGTATGTAGCAAGACTAACAGGTTAGACTTCTAATTTTAATTAAGACTGGCTACCATAGTAAATACTTGAAATAGAGTACCAATAGAGCAGTAAGATGGATGATTTCGATATTGAAGAAAAAAGCCATCTTCGCTTGCCAAGGGCTTTGACCCACTTTCCTTCTCTTTCCTGAAAGAAGAGAGGAGCGGATCATTATCTTTGGTTGGCAAAGAAATAATAATCCAGCATTTATCCAACATTCATTTTTTTTACTAAAAATTTCATTTTGCAGCTTTTGCTTCTTAGACCAAATTCATGTATGCTTTCAGTATCAATTTGATCTGGTATATTGTAATGAGTGGTAAAATCGTTTTTTCTTGAGTCTTTTCATAATCTGGTTTAGGTTTGATACAAGAAGATTATCTGAAGGAATGTCTAATGACAATGGGTGAACGCTGGACAGATGATATGGTGGAAGATTTATTTCATGGAGCTCCCATACAAAAAGGCCTCTTTGACTACAAAGAATTTACACGCATGCTCAAACATGGATCACGTGATAAAGAAGATGACCAGGTGCCTTCTCTACCCCCAGAGGAGTTAGCATTCAATCCTAATGCTCCAAAATAGTGTCGATCAGGGATTTTTCAACTCATCTCACCCACAGGCTTTGGACAGAATTAATTACACTGAGAGCTGGTTATACCTCTTGAAAAGAGAACAAAGACACAATGTTTCATTGAAATGTGCCAATCTATTTGCATTCAATTAAAAATTTTACATCATGTAAACATTCTCAGTTCTTCAAATACATGTACTAGTATATGACACATCAGAAGTTTCAAATTATTCACATAATTCCAGAAAAAAATTTTAATATGGGGGCAGTGCCAACTATCTCCCAAGCTAATATTTACTGCCCCCTTCATTAAAGATAAGATTTATATGTTTTGTATGAAATATGTAATGATAAAACTTTTTTTAAATATAGAAATTTTCAATTTTTTCTAATTGCCTCTTTAAATGTTGATTTGTGGAGATAATGTTTTTCTAGAATATGGTCTAAATACATGCATGTAACATGACACTGCTAAAATGAACATGACAAAGTTGGCAATAATCGTCACTCCCCAGTCTTATTTTATGAAGAGAGAATACACTGATATCCATTGGAACAAAATGAAATGAGGAGCTAACGTTTGCAATTAGAGTTCATCTGTGTGTAAATATCCCAATATCGGGGCAGTATCTGTATGGCTTGCTTCTGCTGGGACCTCTATAAAACATATATATCAACAATATTTATTACATGTTAAACAAGAATTGATACAGAATTTTTTTTATTGTATACCTAGTTGGCAAACTTTAACTGTAAAGAGCAATTAAATTATCAATGCAGTCATCCAATGTCTCAAAGAATACGGTAAAAACAACTACAGATTAAAAGTGCATTAAATTCAACACAGCTGACTCATTTCTGGGACATTTAATTAAATACAGCTGACTCAAGTCATATCTGGGACAAGGCAATAATAAATAAATTTCTTGCTACAGAAATTAATCAAAGGATATGATATTTGCAGTGACATAACATGTATCTGTTAACTAAATTTAGTGAGTCAGTGTAAATCACTTAACTCATGAGAACTTTATTTTTGTGTAATTCCATAAGACCAACAGCTCCTGAAAATTTTTTTGTGTACAGTAAAACTTGGTTTATAGTGAAGTCCTATGGACCTGTGAATTTACTTTGCTATGTATGTAATTCATTATATCCATTTAAATTCATTATAACTGTAAAGTTTTATAAGGAATTGCTAAGAATTTTGCCAGGGATCTGAAAAAACTGCTAAATCTATGAATTCCTTATATCCATGTTCATACGAAACAAGTTTTACTGTATATTTGTAATATTAAAGATTTTCCATGTACAATGATAACCATAATTCTTAACAATTTTTTTTTCTTGCTTACATGTAAAATACCAAGTAACTATCTTGCAAAAATAAGTAATCTTGAAAATTTGACAATCATAGGTAAATGTATTTATTCCTTCAAAATTATTTTTATCAACCCCGTTTATTTGCTCTGCATGACAAACCTGAGCATCCTATTGTATATCTTTTCCTTGGAGATTTCCCTGGGGCCTTCCTCCTCAGACCCTGAAGCTTCTGTCTCCAAATAGATGTCAAAACACATCAACAGTCGCTGCATCTGATTGGACAGAATTGTGTCACATGACTTTGACTTCATCAGCTCTTCATGGTGAACATTCACCTCTTCTTCCATTTCCTGTTTAAAGGTGAAAGGTCAACATTTTTTCTCTTTAAACTAAAACATAATACAGTCAAACCTGGTTATCTTGAACTCTAGTGGATCAAGAAAATACTTCGAGATAACCAAGGATTCGAGATATCCAGGGTAAAACACTTAAATAATAAGCAGTTCAGACTTAAAAATCACTTCAACATATCCATGGTATTCGAGATAACCATGTTTGAGATACTGAAGTTCAACTGTACATACAAGCTTCTGAAATTTCTTCCCTTAAGCTAAAAAATAAAACTGTCAATAAAGCTCTCAATAGTCTGACATCTCTTTTAAGGCCTAAAATGATGAAATAATTAAATGCGCAAAATTTAGGAATATTCTGAAATTTTGCACTCTTAACTCTCTCTAGTGAGAGTTTACATTCAAAACTCACTGGGGACTCACACCACATCCCTGCCTAGAAAATCTCTCTGATCAAGTTATACATGTTACATGTAGGAAATACATGTACTTTATAAAACCTTGATGAGATCAATTTTGTTCTAACTTTAATAAGTTCTTGTTCTAACTTTAATGTGTTCTTGTTCTTTCTTAACTGTGTCCTTGTTCTTACTTTAATGTGTTCATCATTCATAGCTGTTCTCTCATGCTGCCATAACACTGACACAGTAAACAATGGGGCCACCTTAGGGTAGTCGTGGGTCATCACCACCTGAGCAGTCATCTTAGCTGTCAATTGTAAATACGAACGTCAATTGTAAAAAAAAAATCAAATACTTGTACATAAAATTCTATATAATTTACTTACCAGTACATTTCAATCAAACTTCATGCATTGTATACATCTTATTGTCATTCTGATTCAAGTAAATGTACCATAGTAAGTTTTTTGAATATAAACTTGAATTCAAAGAACTCAACTTTAATCTTATGTGTACAAATGTGAAACATCAAAATTTACAAAACTGTAACTAAATAGCTTCAAATAACATCAATCAAATACATGTTTATAAGGATAAAATTAAAACAAAATGAGGTACCAGATCCCCTGTCAATGATGGCTGTAAAGAAAATGTCTGACTCCTCCACTACCCCATCTGTCACCAGGGCCTCAGTGTAAGGCAGCGCTGCAAAGTCCTCGTATGTCGCTCTCTTCCAGGAAGTCAAACGAGACACAATCTTACTGGGAAACAAACCCTGATATTCTGGATCCACCACCACATTGCCAGTTTCTGTTAGGGATGAGATAAACTTTAAATTTTTTTTATTGGTACATGTGCACGTACTTCCTTATATATTTGCATTTGTTGAGAAACTGCATTGTAAATAATCCAGAAAAATTTTACATTGAAAACATTTTTAACAACATGACTGTTTGCAATGCACATGCATATATAATCTGCATGTCAAATTTTATGTTATTTGCATTTGCATGTGTGGTTTTGTAATACACTCACCAAACGCTGCTGTTTGCTTCATCAGACAGAGCCTGGATCTGACTCTCCGTTTCAGACGTCGAATCGTCTCCTGCATGTGAGTAAAGCTGATGTCTTCCTCTGGAGTATTGACAGCATTGTTCTCCAGAAACTGCAGACCTCCTAACCACTGAGCCCACAAATAGGGCCGACCTACCTCAGAGATGTAGCTTGTGAAATCCTTCAGTCTGAAATCAGAAAGATGGGCGATAGAGTACTGATACCGTTAATCAGACAAGGAAAATAGCATTAATACTGTAAAATACTGTTAAATACAAGCATTTACGTTTTCATCAAAGCAGATTTTCATTGATGTTTTAAGACAATGCCTTACTGGAATTAATCTTCTGCTGAATCTTACCCTAACTTGCGTAGCTCATACTGATTGGCTGGGTTAGGGGAAGTGTTGCCATGGTCACCAGGATAAAGATCGGTAAGAATGGATTTTGGTGCCAAAAGATCACTGTTAAGCAAAATAATTCCAATTCATATTGAAATCTTTCAAATAAAGTACATGTATTTATACTCTTGTTCACACAATAAAATCAAGGACAGCACATGTATGATGTAATATTGGATATAACTCGTACATAAGTGTTTGAGAACAAAGCTAATAATTTTATTCTGCATGGCATTTTAATGGAACAAGTATCATTAAATGCTGAACAAGGCATATTAATAACAGTAAAACATTACAAAATTAGTTATCGAAGAAAGGAATGAAGGTTAAGCTCTAAACCAACTTCCTTCTGCAAAAAAAGTTTTCTGAATAGATGCTTAAAATCTGTTCACAATTATTAAATATGGTTCATTTGCCAAAGGTACACATATATACTGCTTCTTAAAAACAAACTTTCAACAAAATCTATGACATTTTGCAGAAGGAAAATTTGGTTATTCACTTAAGATAGCAAAAATTATTGAACATTAAAAATAACTATGGTGCAAAAAAACAGAGCTACAGTACCTTGAAGAAAAGACATATGCTACTGTAACACTGAATAAAAAATACTGCAAAAGTCATCACTTGTTCCTAATACAGTATCTCATGATTATACGGAAAAGTTCCATAAATGTTATATCTACAAGAAATTGTGACCAAACTTGGCAACCTTACCTTCCCGAGACAGAAGAAGCATTATTCTCCGCCAGAGTTAGATTTATGTCAACAGTGATGATCCCCATGGTCAACATAAAGTGAAAGGTCAAGTGTAAACTGTTCCCATCTGGTCAATAACAAAACAATATTAGTGGGATGGTTTTTGTATTTTGTCTTATATTTAGCTATAGGTATTTTCCCTATATTTAGGTATTGTATGTTTTATTATTTATAGTTATCACCCTTGGTTATGCACATCCGCGCTCTGGACCTGTCCGGGTTTTGCGCATCCACACTTCGGACCCATCTGGGTTTCTCTGTTCATATATAGTTACGTCAATTAGACTTTTATACAGTCCAGATTACATCAAGTTTATTTTTAAGATGTATTTTAGGGGCAGGGGCTAAAATGTACGGTAATTACTGTAAACCACACTCTCCTTCAATATTTCTATGATTGTTTGTCAAATTACTTGTACTATTTGTGCTTTTTACCAGAATATAATTATTGAAAACACTGGAAATCTCTCATCCTTCTTGAACTCAGTGTTTGGAAAGTACAATGTATACGGGAACTGAACCCTAAACAGTCCCGTTACATTAGTCAAATGGAAGCACATTTTGTATGCAGGCTTCTAGTCTAACAATAACTGAAGATGGCTGATACCTTTACAGTTGATATCCAGTTTTACCGCCAGAGGATGCTTCCTCAAAGCTTGTTGTTTACGTTCCTCCACACGACCATCCTGTGTCTTCCTTCTTCTTTTCTGTTTTATTTTTAAGAAAACGTTAAAACACTGTGATATACGAACTACATAATTGTATTTGCCACTTTTGTTAATGCTATATAAAACCCTCACTGATTTCTTGGCATGTATTTGCTATTAATGCTTTATAAAACACTCACTGATTTCTTGGCATGTATTTGCTATTAATGCTTTATAAA